AACAGTTTTTTAAAAAGTAGTAGTTTGCGTGGCCTAAACCTACAATTAACACAAAACCCTATTTTCAGTATTAAATTAAGCCAACTCATAACATAAAATAACGGCAGTAGAGTTTTTTGTAATTTTTTCTATACATCCAATAACACACATAGCAACTCACATGAAATACAAAAAAAAGTGTTAGGTAATGCCATTGATGTAAATTACTGTAATAAAGACTCAATGTAAAAACCAATAATCGAATTTAGATATAGCTTCCATCATATGAAAAGAATTCCATTATTGTAAAACAGTTTTTTTTCTAGAATCATGATTCTTTCTCGGTAAAAGGAGATTATATCACCACGATATGATATTTCATCGCCAATGTCCATTTAATAATTCTCCCAATATTCCTGTTTATACTGTAAAATGTGTTGATTTGCTAACCCACTATTACAGTGAGGTTTTCCCACGTCACAGAAGTTCAAGAAAAGTTTGAACTTTTAAGCCCCACTCATTACAGAACTAGCGAATTGTAGTATATTATTAGGAAAGTTGACAAAATGAAAGATATTGTTAATTTCTGGAATATACAACTCTCACGAAATTTTTATTTTCTTTAAAATACTTTTTACTGAAAGGGAAAAGTTCAAATTACCATTGATGAACCTCTAAATGCCCAAATTATATTCACTCATAAAACTGCACAAACAGAGTTATCCAATTAGACCAGTGGTTTCCTTTGTCACTGCACCATCAGTGAAATTATCAGAAAGGCTAATCAATATTATCTTGAACCATTGTAACTTCAAAATCAATTCTACGGAATTCATATGACTTAATCAATAAAATAGAGAACATACCTCTACCAGACAACGCAAAACTACTATCCTTTGATGTGGAGAATCTATTTCCCAGCATACCTCCTGATGAGACTATTACTGTAGTAATAGAATTATTAGATAATAATAGAGTGAACCCAATCATAAAACGACCTTCTGTCGTTATATCTCAAACAAAATTATTTTCAATTTAACAACAATATTTATTCCTCCTCAAAAGGTTTAATTATGGGAAATCCATTAAGCCCCTTATTTGCAGAAATGTTCATGGATAATCTAGAGAAGTCGATCTTTAAACATCCTTTGATTAAGAATCTCTTGTACTGGCATAGATATGTGGATGACGTTTTGTTATGTTATACAGGTACAAAAAGGCAATTAGATAATTTTCATAGGGATATTAACAAAATTCATGAAAACATTAAATTCACTATAGAAATAGAAGCAGACAACTCAGTCAATTTCTTGGACCTAATAATTAGTAGAATGAACAACAAACATGATTTTTCAATTTATCACAAACCGTTCTATACGGATATTACTATACATCACGATTCTTCCCATCCTTATCAACACAAAGTAGCAGCTTATAATAACATGATTCACAGATTAGTCAATGTTCCTCTTTCAATAGATAATTTCAATAAACAACTTAATATCATCAAACAAATTGCGGTTAATAATGGGTTTAAAGCCGAATTAATAAACAAAATACTTGCCAAGAAAGTCTACGCAAAGCGATTCGAAACGTTTTTTCTATTGATAAGTAGATAATAAAAATTATTGAGCTTTAACGTATTTTGGATAATCAACGGAAAAAGTGGCTTCATTTTTGAGGAAACGAGATATTAAAATTGCATATAGAACAAGTAATACGTTGGGAAAGTTAGTTAAAAATACAAAACATCCAAATTCGAGAAATCATGAGTATATAAATTAAAGTGTGGAACGTGCCCTAAGGTATATATTGGTCAAACGGGCAAGACATTCAGGAATCGAATCCAGGCACATCATACGAGCTATGTAATAGGAAAACAAATTCAACATATTCAAATCATCTTCTAGAAAAAAATCATATCTTTGATGAAGAGTTCGAAATTTTGCACATAGAAAATAAAGGTTTGAAACTGAATCATTTGGAAGCAATGGAAATTATTAATCTTAAAAATTCAAACATTCTAATGAATAACCAACTGGATTTGAATAGATCACCATTATTGAACTTGTTTTCTTAAAAACCAAGAAAGAATTATTATCGATGTAGATGTGAGGTAATATGCTTCAGGTAATCATAATTGAACAGGTACCTTAGGTAGAGGTTTAGGTAATTTTTTTGAGGTAGTTTCAATTGTGGTTACCTGTGGTATATAAATATTAATGTAAGAACAACTTGAAGTATAAATCACTTGAAAAAGCTACTGTGCTAGCGAAACATGTGATATATTTTTCAAAATAAAGTTTGTGAAGATCAAATCGTGAGGTGTAGTTTTTGAAATTACTATGGATCTTCATCAAGTACCGGCCGAATCAATCAGAAAAAAAAGATCTAAGTAGAGATACATGAGTTTTTCAGTACAAACACTTTTATGCCCAATGCTCATATTATAGATATTAAGAGAGATTGAGAAAACTGAGTTAATTATATATTTATGAAAAGGAAAAATCGCAAACATTCTTTGAAACTTCGAGCTAATTCAAAAATGTTATGTACCTAATTATTAAATGAGAAACATGTTTGTGTCATGATTTTTTAGAACAATTTCAAACATAATGCTAGAGGTACGCGAATCGACTTTGGAGGTGATTCTATTGATAGCGAAATTAATAGGGCGACTAAGAAAAGCAAAATTAACGTAATAAGTCTCTGAATAAGTGTTGGGAGATACATTTTTTGGTATTGGATAAAACTTTTAAATCGATAAGGGTGCCACACATAATATTCATTTAGTAAGAAACTCATCTTTTTTAGACATTTTAGAGCAATTGTGGAATATTGCGCAAAAAATGGGAGTTTGATACCTCTTAGTTTCTTCTTAGGATTTTATGTTAGTATCGTGTACAAGAGATGGTGGACCCAGTACACATCTATTCCATGTCCAGATAATATAGCAATCTTGGTAGGAGCCAATATCAAGGGTAGGGTGAGTATGAATTCAAGAAGAACTCTTATAGTGTCGAATATAAAATTAATTCTCCTAATTTTTAGAAATGTGAACTTATTTTTGTACTGCAATATGAATTGTAGGACGAAAGATCCAGGATATTCAGAAGAACAATTGTAAGATACATCTGTGTGGCATTTACCATGACATTAAGCTTGATATCACCGAAAGCTAAGAAACGTTTTCCGACGTTGAGGCATTATGTAGAAACTGGTCTGATGTCAGAAAATGAACAGAGAATAATTCAAAACATTGATAACGAGTATCCCAACTACACAAAATACTGGTGAGTACAAAATATTTCAATAACTGTTCAAAGTTTGCCTCCTATTATTGAATAAAATAAAAGGAATAATTTTGAATTCATGATTCTTGCTTAGTACTGATGAGTTCTATAACATCAAATAACGATGTCTAGAATTGAATCATTTATGTTCCAACATCTTCTGGTAGCCTATTTGCAGTGAAATAGCAGAGAGAGACTGAAAGTGATCTTTCATTTGACAGGAGTTCGACTTTTGTAACAGATAATTTTTAGGAAAAACAATATCTTTGGAACAAAACTTTATCTTTGATTAGTGAGGTTTGAGTTTTCTGTCTATACAAATAGGTAGTGTCTTCCTAAGAGGATCATCATACCTACTTCTGAGCCTCTTGCTGGGTCTCTTTTTGAAATGTGGCTTGAAGATAGGTCTGTATCTGTCTCTCTTTCAGTTCGGAAATCCAAAAAAAGTTATATTGAATGTTGAATGAAAAATAATTTTCAAATAAAACCTATTGATATTATTTATCCCATGCAATCTCCTTGTAAATTACAAAGCTCATGTTCTCGTTTTTCAATTGAAGTAGTATATTGAATGGAAATGGTTTTGCAAAATTTTAACCAAATTAGAAGGGTAGATTTCAAGCTTTTCCTATTACTATTTTTTCAATTTTCAGTACCCTTGATAATGAAGAAACCGAATGACTATTTATGGCATTTTAAGGACGCNTTGTGTTACTGAACCCCGAAGGGTTGCTTATTAAAACCATATATTTCATAAATTATATTCAGAACCTATTGAAAATTAGATATGTTGGAGGAAGCTTTGCTCTATTCAGTAAATTATATGCAGTGCCCGATCAATATTAGATACTTACAAAATACTATTTTTCATCACAATTGTAGGTTACCTTTAGCTTGGGCAGCGAACGTAACTACCAGAGCCAGACATGAGGGGATAATCAAACATGATGTTGCTGTTAATAATATATTGAACGAAATCAATATTTTCAGAAGCAAATTGAGTTCTTTACTAGATTATGACTGGATAAGTGTTCCACTAGTCTATACCCAGGTATCATATCTTCTAAAAGTTTATCAGTAACTAAAACGTGTTACAGTTCGGCACAAGATTTGATCATTAAACATTACCAACACTTTCAGGTGGTGACACTAACTGTGTATAGTTATTTTATGCTTACGGTTATCGGAAACCAATTCCTATCTATGGAAGGTGAAGGTGTATTCATTTTCAGTTTGCCTATAGTCCCAATTTTAGAGTTCTTTTTTTACATGGGTTGGTTGAAAGTTGCCGAGACACTTATAAATCCATTTGGTGAAGATGACGATGATTTTGAAGTTATGTGGATGATTGATAGGAATGTGCAGGTAAATTAAATTATCTATGTGACCATCATTCATAACACCAAAAGTTCTTTTTCAATTCATGATTGTTTATAATGATTAAATATGGATATATACAATTTATTGTGAATTACCAACTCAAAGATTATTTTCAAAATACATGAGAAGACACATTGAAGATGTTCCTTTAAGTCAAGTTATAGATGTTCAAGTAGGCGATGATAAATCCAATAACCAGGTAAATTTTTGAAAACTAATGAATTATATTTTGTGACATGTTATAAATGTATCAGGGTTTTGTCTATGAAAGAAGTGTAGGTAGGTATATTGAAAAATATAAGTATTAAATATACAAGTAATATTTTTAATCACCTTCATTCAGTAGGAAAAAGTATTGGAATCATTGTTGAGTAAAGTTATTATCATATGTCAAATCTCTAGGAATTCAGCGAGTGAAAAAATGTATCGATTGTTTTTTATTATTACAAATGATGTTGACCCAACGTGAAGTTAACATTTCAAAATTATTCCTTTATGATGTTCCTTATATCACTCATGTTAATCTTATTGCTTGTAGGAAAATGGCGGAAACACTAGTTTTAACAGAACAGCTGATTCATTGAATAGTGAAATTGACCATTTTGCCGAATTAATTCAGAGCAGATTGAGGAATCGAAAGGAAGTGCTACATAAATACATGAAGATTTTAAAATCAATGGAAGACCAAGAACAAATTATAAACGATATATTAAAATGAAATTGATGTTTTACACAAACTATAAATTTTCTAACAAAATGAGCTGCAGTGTATATTTATATATGTATAAAAAATATAATATGATATTCAAGAACTTGATACATATACAGTTTCTTTTCCAGTTTTCTTGATAACGTCTAGTATAACTTCAGCTGGTAGAGAAGTTTCAACTTTCACAGTCTGATTCTCCAAGTTAATATCAATTTTCTCGACTCCCTGACCTGAAAACATAAAAAAATACAATAAAAAATGAGATTATAGTCGCTGCATATTGGATATTATGAATTATCTTGATGCGCTTCACTCATCTAAAGGATTTTTATAGTGCAAAGGTTGATATTTTGCACAAAGGAACAAGTTTAGATAGTCTTCCATAATTTGAAAAATTAATGAATGATGTCAACACATAATCTGCTCAAGCATAATAAAGGTACAACTGAAAAGTTCACCCAGAAAAGTTTATTCCTAATGTTACTTTTCCTCATTTCCAACCTTCAACAGTTTGTTTCGTATGTCCACCACAAATCCGTAGGGGGAAATGATGTCCAGTCTCAGAATAAATTCGCCGACAATGTTGGCCACTAATACCTTAGTTTCTATTTCGCAATTTCCAAGCCTCAGTCTCACCTCAGCTTCTCCATAGACTGTTAATCTATCTCCAGTGGCTGTTTCCAGAATAGGTACTACTGATAATTTATTCAAACTGCTTCTGTTGAAAATGTCTGCTCTCATTACAGACCTCGTTGCTCCAGTAGTAATGATTACTCAGATTAGTGATAAAAGTACTGATGATTATTCAGAAATCCGTCGACAACTAAGCTGTTACTGTTGCGTCCAATCATGGAAATCGAATACCTAGGGGCTTGGGATGCAGCAGCCAATGTACTTCTCCTAAAGTAGGCTGAATTTGGTTTTTCCAAACCCTATCGCTCCAATTCGGGTGATCTCGAACGCCTATCTCTTCTTTCGTCGGATGTTGGACGTGATCGACAGTCACGCCTTAAATGTCCTTCTCTCTGTCGCAGTTATAACATTTAGGTCCTTCCTCTTGCCTTGGGTACAGTTCCATTCATCAAATATGTCTCAAGAGTTCTTCAACAAGTCCTACTATGAGTCGATCTTTTCCTTCATCTTCCTTTTCATTGATGGCACTCAATAGAAGTTTTTGTTGTTGTCGCGAAGCATTTTTAGCAGCTTAAAATTCTAGGGCATAAATGATGGCTTCATTAAATTTTTTATGAC